TTATTAATAATTATTATATTACATATAATAATAATAATAATAATAATTCAAATGTATATGCCGCCCGGTTCCCAGCGGTAAGTCCATCCCAGTCCCCGCGGCGAGGTGAATACGGGGCAGTGCGAATGCAGGCAATCGGGTTCATCGGGCAACGCACCCGCATCGAGCGGTCCGCGTGCGGTACGAACGCAACCCCTATTACCCACACCGCCCATGAAAAGGCAGCGCCCGGCTGGAGCCTCGGAGCCCCTGCCCTCCAGCCGCCGCCTCACCTGCCCTCGGTCCAACGGCAGCGCCGCCGCCGCCGCCTCCTTCGCCTCCATGCTTCTCTCTCCACGTGGGACAGCCCTCTCAGCGCGTCGCCGCGCCGTGACGCCATCAGAAGGCGCGGCCCTATCCCGCGAGAGGAGCGGAAAGACACTCGTAGATGTAGGAAAAGTAAGAGGTGTACACGCACTTCCGGTCTTTAAAACCTCGAACTAGCGAATCACCCTGGAAATAAGACCGGAAGTTCGGGTGAACATGAAAGAATCGCCGATAGAGCCAGGACTTCCGAGTTTATTTGAGCATATTTGCCCGGCTCTGGGGGGAAGCACGAAAAAAAGGATATGCAAAAATCCGGGGGCACTCTGTAACAAAGTCTCCTCAAAGGTGGAGCGCCACAGAGTATTGCACATCCATTTCCAGGCAGCAGGGCCAAGTTCAGCCTGGGTAACCATCCAGTGTGTCTCACCTCGGCAACTTGAAGACGTGTGGACTTCAACTCCCAGAATTCCCAAGCCAGCATGCTGGCTGAGGAATTCTGGGAGTTGAAGTCCACATGTCTCAAAGTTGCCAAGTTTGACAAACACTGGATAACCCAGACGGGTGGCAGTTGCAGTTTTCCTGCAGTTGGCGTATCTGCCTTGCCCCCAAACTGGTAGTTAACCAGGCTATTCTGATGGACCCACATAAAAGCCAGAAAATGAAAAAGTTCTTGAACGCTTCTTTGTTACGTAAATTAAAGGCAAAGTTTTGCCATGGCCCTCTTCCGATCCCTTTTTTTAATAACTTCCCAGTTGAGCTCCCAGCAGTTCTCTCAGCCTCGGGGGTGTCATGACCCCTGAAGCAATAAATGAATTTGCGTGACCCCCTTGAACATGGATAATTTCAGAGACTGATGCCAACAGCTGCTGGGGGGATTAAAACGTTCTCCTCGCCGTGGAGGGTTTCCCACTGAGCAATCCTGCATGCGAGACCTGGGGCTTTGGCAGACAAAGCCAGAAGCCCTCCAGAGCTTTCTCCAGCCTTTGCTGGGATGAGCCGGCTGTCGGTTGTGTCTTCTTGCTCGCAGTAGCACCCTCTGCTCAGGACTGGAGGTCGTTCTCCATCTGACCACTGACTGCTACTACGTCGTCTTCTCCCACAGGTCTCCTCCCTTCTCACACCGGTGAAGTGGCAGCTACAGACCCCAAGTTCTGGCTGGTGAAAGAGGGAAAGGCAGTGGGTGGAGAGGGCAAAGGAGAGTTCAAGAGAGCTAGGAGATCTGCGGCCAGCCCTGGGCAGAGCCTGCTGTTTTGATGCCAGAATGATTGCAGATGGACAGCTGGCTTGTTCAGGGACAGCAGGAACACTGTCAGACTGGACACCAGCTTTGACTATGTAAGCCCCCTCCAAATTTGTGACCTCCTCAAATTTGCTGGTGACCCCTAGGAAGTCACAACACAGTCTGACAGGCCTATAGCCTGGAAATCTTTCAGTGGTCTCCCCTCCAAGCACTAACCAGTTGTGACCCAGCTTAGGTTTTCAAAATCAGCCAGGAGCATCAGGTGGTGCCTCGTACTGTGACTGCCACTAAAGGGATTGGGAAAGCATCTTTCAGGGGAGCACACCCTGAAGGGGAAGACAGGACCCTCAAGATTCAACTGCTCTAAGGTTAGAAATAACTCCCAACTCTTCAGCCAGGAAACAGATAAGCAACACAACTCACTCTGCCAAATTTATTCCACTGATCTTCCACCTTTCCATTAAACAAGCACTCCAGACTTCGTTAATGTTCAGAGGTAAGCATATTGTGGGTCATGAGGGGTATGGAGTACTGAATCCAGAGACAGCCAAGTCAACCAGCAGCATCTTTCTCCCAAGTCCCACACATATGGGGCTGAGTGGGTCAGGGCTGTTGCCGCAGAGATGGTTACGCACTAAATTCTGCTCCAGTCCAAGAGCGAGAGCCAGTGTGGTGTAGTGGTTAAGACACCAGGCTAGAATTGGAAGACTGTCAGCTCTAGTCCCATTAGGCATGAAGCCAGCTTGGTGACCTTGGGCCAGTCTCTCTTGCTCAGCCCTGGGAAGGAGGCAAAAGCAAACCACATCTGAAAAATCTTGCTAAGAAAACTGCAGGGACTAGTCCAGGCAGTCTCCAGGAGTCAAAACTGACTTGAAGGAAGAACACCGTCAACAACAAAGAAGTCCAAGAGTGCAGAAATGTACGATGACCGAGTTGCGGCACACCTGTAATTCAAGGTTTGGTGTGTAGCATGAATACAAATGCATTCAACAAACCAAGCCTCTAATCCTCTTTTGTAAGAAACGGATCCTTTTCATTCCAGTTAGATCGATTTTGGAATGGGTATGTTCAAGATGGCAGCTTGAACTCACTCACTAGCCCAGTCTTTTTTTTGCCCAGGCATCCTCCAGGTGCGTTAGGGGTACAAACGTACAGAATTCCTAGAGAGCTGTTGTTCTGCTACATTGGCTGGGAATTGGGGAGCCCTAGCCTGATAACAGTATACTATCTAATTTTCTTCTACATGCTATAAGTGTCGGATTCTTTTTTAAGTTCTGGAATTCTACACAGCAGCTTTTCCTCAAGCATGAAAGATTCATTCCCAAATAAAGTTAATAATCCAACATGTAAAAGGGTGCCAGACTGTAGAATGTTGTCTAAACTCCCCTTGCCTTTTTTTAAAAAAAAGTTCCTTTCCCCTCATTTATTACTTAAAACAAGAAATTATCCGAAGATAATTTTGTTGGAAAAGGTACGATAACTTAAAGCTTTCAGATTACTGCAAAAAAATAAAAACCCAGATATTTGCAGACATAATAAAATTTATTTAAATTTTCATGCATTATGGTAGCTACAACTGTAGTCATATGAAATTGAAGGACAATAAACTTTGCTTTGTCCGTACAATGTAGCCTTATGTGAAATGGACGGGAGTTCCACAGTTACAAAGAAAAAAAAAGGGGGGGGCAACATTTTAAATTTAGAGCTGTGTAAAATGAAACAGTTGTATGACTGCATGTTTTTGGAAATGGGGCATGTTCTCCTTGGAGCATACCAACCAATTGGAAAAGCATTTTGAATACATTCGGAAACCGGCCTTCTGTAATGAATGTAAGAATGGAGAATGCTGTTAAATAATTTTAAGCACCACTATTGTTTCCTTTCAGGTCATGTTCCTAGCAATGGTATAGATGCTACCTGCCACTTGTCCCCAAGGACACAAGCTTACTATCCTGTTCTTACTGTCTAATGCAGCATTTTTCAACCGTGACAACTTTAAGATGTATGGACTTGAACTCCCAGAGTTGAAGTCCACACATCTTAAGATCACCAAGGTTGAGAAACACTGGTAGTCACTCACCTTTGCTTTCCTCTAGGTTCTTACTTCCTCAACCAAATGCCCGCAAGCTGTGTTGGGACTGTAATTTTCAGAAAGCTCAGCCAAGAAACCCCAACTTCCAAGAGTTGGAACCTGGATAGATCTCCAGATAACCATTCAGGGAAGATGAAGCTAGCTCACCTTGCCTGATATGCAAAAATTTATAGACTGTGCTTGATTCTAACTCAGATTTAAATGACCCAACTCTGAGGATGAGGTGGTAATTACCGAGACAACATCCAGTTCTGCTCAAACAGGGTACACATCTCTCTTACCTATCTTCTATTAGTCTCACTTCAAATCAACCTCTTTCTCAAAAGGAAAAAAAAAAAGAAAGAAAAACTACAAAGATTCTCCAGGCTTCTAAGTTAAAGGTAGCAGAGGAATTTTTTAAAATCATAAACTGGCACCTGAGCTCAGTTTTCATACTGAACGCAACGCGCCAGAATTATTGCAAGAGTTGTCATATAACAGTCCTACTTGTTTTAGTCACCAGCCTGTGCTGCCAGAAAAGCAATAATGATGATGATGTTCTCCAGGACACAGTGGGAAGATCTATCTTACCCTGCGCCTATACATTTGTGTTAAATTAACTTTTATATATATCTTTCTATAAAGTGATGCAACACTAATGAAATAGTACCATATTTGCATGGATCTATTTTGAGGGTTTTTGAACCACTGTAAAGAAAAGGGTGAAGGAAACTTTAGTACAAGTTTTGTCAATGGTCTAATTGCTTCATTTAAAACACAGTCGGGGATCTGACAAAGATAGGAATCCGTTGTTTAGAAAAGCCAAAGTCATCAAATGTTCAGATCACTCAGCAGGTTAAAAGCGAATGCAGCAGGCGTTACATCTGGATAAAAACATTATTCAAAAGTAATTGATACCCAAAAAGATTTCAAATTGGAGAGTTTATTAACATGGTAATTGTGTTTGTAACATGTGCACGCATGCACACCTGAATGATCTGCCTTGAAAAATGCTTCAGTTTGATGGGAGGGGACAATTAAACATAAATCCTGTAGATTTTTTCATAATTCTAGGCAATTATGTCCACATCACTTACAAAGCTATTGCCAAATCTTTCCAAGGAAGCTGAACTGAGGAGGAGAAGGAGGAGGAGGAGGAGGAGGAGGAAGAAAAACAAAACAAAATGAAACTTTTCAGGGTAATTCAACAGTGGCATAGCAGAGCTCTCAATATGAGAAAGCTGACATAATGTGGACCTTTGCTGTGAAATTTCATCTTTGCAAAATAGAGGGAGGAGATTATCAATGGGAAGAAAAGAAGGCAATGTGAAATAGGGCTCTGCAGAGTCATTTTTAACCCCCTCCTTACAGTATTTGTGCAGGCTTGTCAAAAACAATGCTTAGTCCTTCTCTGGAACCAATTTCAGAACTTTCCCAATTGCAATGGTTTTACCTAAGCAAAAGAAAAAAAAAGATAGAAAAGATCATTAGGAAATGGGTGATTCTTAAGGGTCTCACATAAACAAAAGCAAGAGGTGACACTTGTTAACATTTTTTAAATGCTTGCTTCCGAGGTGGGAAGCCTTCTGGCCTTTGGCAGACTGGGTGGCTGAACTACAGCTTCCAGTAGCACAGCCAACTTGGCCACTAATGAAGGGATCTTGGGTACTGTAGTTCAGCAAGGCCAGAGGATTATTCCCAAAGTGACTTCCTACACAAGGAGAAAAGATGTAGGAAGAAGCCCGCCAATGCTTCATCTGGGGAGCTGAAGCAAGGGAGGCACCACGTCCTCACAATATCCATGGGATGAGATACATGGACAAAGATAGCCTTGGAAATGGGGCCAGTAAGATGTTAAATGGAGCTGTGTGCTTCTGAAGGATCCCCGTCTCCTGCCCACCAGCGTAGCGTCTTGCCCCTCGCTTTGCCATCCAACTTCACCAAGAGTTCTTATGAAGCAGGAAACTTGCTCGCTACTTCGGGCTGCCCATTCCAGGAAAGGCACGACTGGACTGTGGATTGTTTCACGGACCAATGTTGCTCGCCTCTCTTTGGCTAGCCAGTTTTGTGCCTTCACTCCTAACCAACATTTGGCCTTCCTTGGCAGAACTACTGGGAAGTGGTTGGCCCTGCTGCCGCTCAGAACTTGAGCCTCTGGAATTCTGCCGCCTGAGAAGCGTTTGCCACCTGAACGCTCAATGCGGAGCTGAATCTATAGCTTTGGAGTGTTACAGTTAGGAGGCCTGGATCTTGCCCATGATGGCTGCAACAAATAAATTTATAATCATCCTACCCTCGTCTCTTAAGGTGAAGCGGCCCATTTGAGGGAAGTCTTTGAATGTCTCAAGGCAGATGGTTCCTGCCGTCCGTAAACGGGCAATGCATACTTGATCTTGTTTGACAAAACGGGGCCGTGTTTTGCTTTTCTCTCCTGATTTCTTGTCTACCAGACAGATTAAGGCCTGTGGAAGGAGAAGAAACCCAAGTGAAACACCACGTGGGTCACACCCTCATTTTGCCAACAGAACTCCGCATCTTTAACTGCTCTATGGGAAGAAGAACTTCTTTTGTGCAAAAAACTGAAAAAGAAATCCAGAGGTACATTTGTTGTTTCCCCATCTCAAAGAAGCCAGAAAAACTAGAATAGAAATTCTCTCTCTTTCAAAAGTAATTTTCCTCTAGGCCCTTGGTCTGAAACATTTTAAGCTAGTAAAAGGATAGTTTGGGAGTATTTTTTTTAAAGCCAATTAATATGAACATTCAAGTCAAGTCAGTTTCAAATAAAGTGCCTTGGACTGATTTCATAGCCATTACATGGCTTCCCATCTAAGGACAATGGGAAATATTGTTCCTTGTACTTTACACAACAGGTTAAAGTAAGACATAACGTGGCTTCTTTGATTGACTGATTAAACTTGTACCTACCATAGCCTAACAACTCTTGGCAGCTTACATAGCATATAATATAGTAAAAAGCTAAAATGACAAGAAGCATCATGGATCCCCCTCAACTCAAAGCACAACAGTTGGGAAAAATAAAGAGATCAAAGATGGCACAGTGCTGAAGTATAGGAGAATGCCCTCCAAAATAACTCTGCTTTTAACATTTCCCCAAAGCCTTATCATCGACTCCAAAGTATTGGCACTGTCATAAAAAAGCAGTGCCTTCTAGCTTTGATGCCCCCCCCCCCAAATGTAGGATTATAAGCAGCTTCTCCCTAGCAGATCAAAGGAATGGAGTTGATTCTGGTTGATTTAGCAGGTTGTGTAGATCTAGCCAATGTGGGCTATATACTATGGCTTATGGCTTACACTGGGCAAATACAGCCTGTTATGGCATCTTTAAAAAACATGAATTTAGGCTAAACGTACCTTTTCAACCTGGCCCCTTTTAACCTAAGACATCTGCCCGAGATAAGAAACCAAGGTAACTGCCCTTTTGATGTCTTTGCCACAAATGGATCTTTATTGGTCCCCATATGAAGATGGTCTGCACTTACTGTAATCTCAACTTCTTCAATGCAGGTATGAATATGCAGCACCGCATTATAACCTGGGCAGATGATGGATTTGTGTTCAATGATCACTATCTATAATCAAGAAGAGACCAGTTAGGCTATACAATGAGAGGCTGTCCAATTTGATCTCAAGGAAGTTGTGGAGCAATTTCTTCAGACCTGCCTGTCTAGAGGAAGACTTTTCTTCAGCTGAAATGCGTCAGGATGATTAACTGCACTGTGTTACAGACAAGATTTTCTTTAAAATGTTGCTTTCACATTTCACACATTTGGAATTAGCAAGAGCAGGGCTTTAGCTGGTTTAGAAGGGAAGGGAAGACATTTATATCATCCTTTCTGGGAGAGTGACTGAGATGGCCCTAAGCTGTGCATCTCTGAACTACGTCCTATCAATCCAGAGTCCACTGGAGTTGGGCAATCAATAAATTTAAAATCATCATCCAGGAGTTAAGCCAATTTGATTTCAGTAATACCTATTCCAAATTAAAGAGCAGACATTCTTCTTCAGTAGGCATACCTGAGCATCAAAAGTGCGTCCAGAATGACACAGGTTATTAAGATCACAGAGTATAAACCCTGGGAGGATTTCTTCCTCTTCAATTCCTTTCAGTCGGATCTTCAAATTTTCACCTGGAGCTACAGAATCAGTTTCTACGTCGTCAGAAAGGATTCCAAGGACTTCCACGTTGTGCTTAAAAAGAGATCAGGGTGGTCTAAGGCATGAAATGTCACACATGCTAGAAAATATTTTAGACTCAGGGTCATGCAAAGGCTGTAATAAAGTTACCTGTTATCTATATAATATTTGCTGAGTTTTCAGAAGCCAAGATTAATATGTCATGGAATAACAGCATTGTTTCAGGTCACCATGTTTTTTGGCCTTGGAATTATAACAGTCTCCCAAATAAATACTACTGCACGTAAAGTCTCTCCTTCTATCTTATTTCAACTTGATACATCCAGGGATGCATTAAGAAAGTCATCGCCATTCCATATGCACCTTTTAGAAAAGACTATAACCTCAAACACCTTTTATGTTAAATGGAGTCCAATTACTGATGTCAATAAAAAGAATCAGTTAAACCTTCTTTTGAATGTAAAAGAATAGTTTCATACTCGTCGTAAATTCTGAGACTGCAGCAAAACGTTTGTTTTACCTTTTAGTTCCATTCTGTAACATGTTACTTTTTGTCGATGTTATGAAAGAAAAATGCATTGATCAAATCAACTTTTTTTTTTAAAAAAAAAAAGATCTACAAAATCTGAAGGAGATGAAGAGATACAGCTGAAATATGCCCCTGCAAGACTGACTCCTGAAAAGAAAACGCTAACTGGTCATACTGACAGGCTTTCTAAGACCTTTGTGGTTCCTTTTACCCAACAGCCATGCAGATATGTAGATGAACTGAAGCAAGTGTAGAAT